CATCTGGGGCCAACGACATCAGAAGGGGAGTGAGCATGTGGCACCCACAGTTTGTGTCACCATTGCACACTTCAACAGGCTCACCAACTGTGTCACCACCTCCTGCCTCGGGGACCACAGCATGAGGGCCCAGGACAGGGCCAGGGTGGTGGAGCACTGGATCAAGGTGGCCAGGGTAAGCCATGGTTGGGCCTTGGGATTCCCTCTCTCAAAATGGGGAACTGCCTCTTCTCCGCCATCGGCTTTCAGGATTGGCATCTGTATCTCTAGCCTGAGCCCTGCACATCCCCTAAGCCCTTCTTCCCAGAGCTTCCCTGACCTTGACCCCCATGGCCCAGTAGTGGCTGCTCACTTCTGACCTGGGACCTTCCTTGGGTTGAACTGAAATCTTCCCAGATGAGTGACATTCACTCAGCCCCAGGTGTACCCTCCTGAGGCTCCCTGGGCCTCTGCTTCATTCAGGAAGGGAGATCTCAGCAGAGAGGGCTGAGGCTGAAGTGGGTCGGACTCCAACTCTGGACCTCACAGCTCACTCTTCCCTCTCCAGGAGTGCCTACGCCTCAACAACTTCTCCTCAGTGCACGCCATCGTCTCTGCTCTGCGCAGCAACCCAATACATCGGCTACACAAGACGTGGGCAGGAGTGTCCAGGTGAGGAGCTCCCTCCACGGGAGCACCAGAGTTGACCTAGGGACCCATAGGTCTCCCCATGTGTCCTCAACGACTCTGAAAGGTTCTTGGAGAACAGGGACGGTGGAGGTAGGGATGGGCTGGTGGGTGTGCTCACTAAGCTGCCCTGGACTCCTAGGCAAGGATTTCTAACTCAGGAGGAAGGTTTTTTAACCATCAGGAACAGACTGGAGCCAATTGGAGGCTTTCAGGTGTTTGTACCCAGCAGTGGAACTGTGTCCAGCTGGAAGCTAACTGTGAACACGCAGGGGCTCATGTGAAGTGGAGATGGGCCAGGGGAGGAGCATGACAGTCCACCCTGGTCCTCTGGAGCCCTGTCATCAGAGACCCACTGGAAACTCTCACGCAGGAAGCCGAGATTCATTGAGTTTTCAAACAAAAGGGATTGGAACTCACAAATCTCCCCCGTGATTCCCAAATTTACCCTTTTTTCTTTCCTCTGTCCATAGCAAGAGCACAAAATATCTAAAAGAACTCTGCAAAAAGGACACTGCAGTGAAGAGGGACCTGCTGATCAAGGTACAGTGGAGTCTGGGAGATGCGGCACAAGTGTTTAAGGGTCTGAGAAAAGAGTGAGTTTGGAAGGGCATTGGACCTGGTGTGCAGTGGTTATTTTGTAATGTTTTGACTTACCTACAAAAAGTGCACTTGAAAAATTCCCTCCAGGCCTACTTTGGGCAAACAGGAGGAAAGGTGTGTGGGTCCATGGGCGCGTGGGGGCACGGGGACAGGTGGTCCTGGAAATGGGATGTGGCACTGGCTGCTGGGCTTCTGAGTGGCGGTGATGAGCTGCAGCATTAGCAGGGCTCTGGCTCCCATGCTGGTCAATGCTGCTGGCATGGAGCTTCCTCCAGGCTGGCGGGTGGTCATTGTAGGTGGGACTTTCTTCCTTCCTCAAACTGGCAGCAATTCCTCAGGAAGCCAGGCCTCTGCTGCTGCATCTGTCTGCAGCGCACCTCCATGGGCAGGGACTGCAGTCCACACTGGGGGAAACAACAACAGAGGAAGCTCATGTGCCAGGGAGTCCAGTAGACTGCCCAGCTATGGGTCCCAATGGGCAAACTCAGGACACATGTATGTGCTTGCTGGGACTCCCCGCTCTGCGCTTTGCAGACATCTGAAAATGGTCGTGTCACAGGATTCTCACCAGTTAGCAGTGACACATGCTCATGAAAAGTATCTGGGGGATCCATGCATTCCTAGGGGATCCTCCCTCACCAGATCTCAGAAACCTCCATGCAAATGAGAAGGCAACATGCCACCCCACCCAGGATTCTGGAAAACCCTGCCATATCCGTCAGAGATGTCGCCTCAGGAGGCCACATCCTGAGTGGAGGAAGAGAGAGTTCTGTGCATGGAACTCCCCTGGGGGATCACTGACGAGGCCAAACCGTGGATTTGGCATGGCGCAAACCCAGTTTGTGTGGCAGAGACTCCGGTGGGGCTCAGATACGGAGGTGCCATTTACCCAGGTCTCCTAAAATGCCCTGTCCCTTTCCCATCACGACTCTGCAAGGCTGGAGTCCTAGACACTCGGAGACTCCAGAGAACAAGACCCTGATGGGTGGTGGTGCTGGGATGTGCGGTGAAGGCAGCCGAGACAGAGCCTCCAGTAGGGGGAGGAGGTGCCCTCTCTTTTGGGGCCCTGGGGAGTCACTGCCCACTCTTGGTCTCTGTTTCTTTATCTGGAAAATGAAGGGATGCTGAGCCTGTAGTGCAGGCCTCACAGGGTGGAAATGAGGTTCGAGAAAAGAAAGCAATTGGAGGGTGCTCCTGAATGGTTCTTCCTCAGAGGGATGAGGGGGAGAACAATGACAACAGCTATAGGAAACAGTACTCAGGAGGCCCTGTGAGGTAGCTGTGGTTTTCATGGCTCTTTACAGAAGAAGAAACAGTCTCAGGGAGGCCTGGCTGCATGATTGGGTGACACACACAGGGAGTGTGGAGCTGGCCAGTGGTATGAGCACTGTGCCAGGTGACTCACGCCAGTCCCTGGGGTTCCAAGTGTGGGGTGGCTGGGATATAACTGGGGGAAGGGAAGACAGCCTCACTGTCCCTGTCCCTGACACCTGGCAGGCGGGGAGCTTTAAGGTGGCCACCCAGGAGAGGAACCCCCAGAGAGCCCAGATGAGGCTGCGGAGGCAGAATAAGGTGAGTGAGACTGTGGCATGGAGGGACCGCAGGGGATCAGAGGACAGGGCTCTTTTCCCCACCAGCTGGAGACCTCCGTATCAAGACAGCGGGGGCTTCCTCCCCAGCCCTGTCCTCCTGTGGCCACTGGGCCTGGAAAATCTCCATTGGAGAGACCAGAGCAAGGGTCTGGGAAAGCAGAACTCAGAGTGGATGTGGGGAAGGGTAAGGCTGGGAACACAGGCCCTTGTGACTTGTTAAAATTCCACCATAGAGGTAACTAGGAGTGACTGCCAGACTTGGAGGTCAGCTGGAATAGAGGAGGCAGAGAATTGGGAAAGGCAGCTGAGGGTCTTTGGCTGCTACAACTGGGAGACCTGGGGAGGGGGGTTCTGGGAGACAGGGGCTGATGGGATTTCATGGGACAGGGCCTTGGGCAGGCACCTCAGGGTCAATACTCATCACCACTACCCCTCCCACCTCCCCACCCCTCCATGGCACAGGGCGTGGTCCCCTTCCTGGGGGATTTTCTGACTGAGTTACACAGGTTGGATTCGGCCATCCCGGATGATCTGGATGTGAGTGAGCCTGGGGCAGGCTGCTTGGGAACCAGGATCCTGAGGCTTGGGAGGAGAGGGGCCTGGACGGAGCCCTTAGATCTCAGCCCTTGGAAAACCTCCTCTCCTGAGAGTCTCACAGCTGCTCCTGTGGGAGGGGGTGCCAGGCCCATCTCATTACCTCTGACTGACAGAGGCTCCATGGCAGTCACCAGTCCCTATCCCTGAGTGGTGAAGCTGCAGAGCTACCTGACTGCAACGATGCTGAGCTGTGGGCTGAGCTGGACTCAGCCTCTCCCTAGGGTAGTCCCATAATAGGAGGGTGAAATTGAGCCTTTCCAAGGGCAGGCAATTCCAGGGTCACTGGGCACTTTCTTTCTACGAGAGACCTCAGTTTCTCTGTCTGTCATCTCAGAGGGTTGGGGCAGAAGGTCCCTGAGCCTCAGCTCCCATGACCCCTGCCCTAGAGCCCAGAGCCTGAGGCAGGTTCAAGTTCTGTCATGTGCACATCCCCTGACCCTGGTGGCCCTGGCAGTAGTGCAGCATGGGAAGGGATGGGGTGGGGCTGTTGTGGGCCAGGGACCTTTCTGATGGGCTCTATCTGACTTCCAGGGCAACAGCAACAAGAGGAAGAAGGTGAACAGCTGGGGCATTCTCGTTGGATGAGGTTGGGGATGTGGACGTCACAGTCCACCCTGGGCAGGACACTCCCTGGCTCCATCCTCTACATCTTAGGTTTACTGGGAGGGTTTGACACACACAGGAGGAGGAGGAGACCTATCCCAGTGGAGAGAGTGGGAAAGGCACTGGAATCAAAGACCAGTTCCTGCAGGAGGGGCTGTTCTCATCCAACTCTGAGAACAGGCTGGGGGCTGCATGGGGCCCCTTCACAGAATGGTCCCAGGGACCAGCCCCTTCTCCCTGCCTGCCAAAGGTCCCCTCAGTGTCTTCCACCCAGACCCTGTCAGCATCCTGTCCTCTGTCTCTAGGAGGTCCGAGTTCTGCAAGAAATGCAGCTGCTCCAAGTGGCTGCCATGAATTACAGGCTTCGGCCTCTGCAGAAATTTGTCACTTGTTTCTCAAGAATGGAGCAGCTCAGTGAAAAGGAGAGGTGAGGGCCTGGCACATGGGCAGAGGGTGGGAGAAGGCTCTCCATTTTTTTTTAAATGTGGTCTGGCTCTGTCGCCCAGGCTGCACTGCAGTGTCACCATCTCTGCTCACTGCAACATCTGCCTCCTGGGCTCAAGCCCTTCCTCAGCCTCCCAAGCAGCTGGCACTACTGCTATCCACCACCGTGTCCGGTTGTTCTCCTGTTGTTGTTCTGGTACAGGTGGGGTTTCACGATGATGTCCAGGCTGGTCTCAAACTCCTGGCCTCAAGCAATCCACCCACCTCAGCCTCCCAAAGTACTGACAGTACAGGTGTCAGCCACCCCACCTGGCCTAGAGGAGGCTCTCCTGTGGACAGCTGCAGAGAGCCTATGGCCATGACTCCACCGCCAGCATCAAGCCCTGTTGCATGGGGACTGCTGGGGACCCAGGATTCCAGCTGGGCAGGCAATGAGAAGGGACCCGATGTGTGGCTCATGGTGGCCTCACAGCTGCCTCTCTGTCCTGCAGCTACAAGCTGTCCTGTCAGCTGGAGCCTGAATCCCAGTAGGCTGGAAACATCCTGCAGTGGCTGGGCCCTATTGGGATGCTGGCCAGAACACGGGCTCTGCATCATCCTTCATCCAGACCCGAGACACCAGGAAATCACATCTAGGTGGCTGGCAGCTCAGCTACATCTTGACCCCGCTCCTCAATACCAGATACTCCTGCTGGCCAGGATCAGGTCATGGGACTTTTGCATGTCAGGCGGGAAACCATTTTATGTTTATTTTCTTTAATGTATAAGTAACGGTTTTTTTTCTTAGCTTTTGTTAAAATAAAATTTTAAAACACTATTCAGAATGTTCTATAGTTGTTGGAATGAGAACAGTAACTCCAGTGCAGTAACCGTATACCAGTCTTTAGGATTCATCGTCTAGCATGTCAAATTGAGGCTATGGCTGAACAAGTCATGGAATAGCGTTCGCGTTACACCTGCCAACCATTTAATGTTTTCCTTCTTTATTCAAATTAATTATTGCTAACTCTGTTTAAGGAAAACAAAAAATAAAACAAACAAACAAAAAAACACTTAAAAACCACAGTATGTCACCCAATCTATGTCATTTGTTCTACTGACCAGTTACTCTCAAACCTAAATTCTAGTTAAATTCAAGTTCCACTGGGTTACTCTACTTTTTTAAGTTGTAAATATTGAATGAATCACTTAAATATTTACTGAAGGGCTGGAGATGGGAGGTATTTATGCCAGTGGTAGGGCTGGCCTTCTCCAGAAGTCCTGTGCACAAGGGAGCTGGCCATGAGTCTCCAGGAAATACAGATAAACTTTTCCCACTATGGATCTTCCCAGACTTTCTGACACCTCTCCCCTAAGGGAACATCAAGGAAGGAGAGAATTGTTTGAACCCAATATCTAAAGGATGTCCCACAGCTTAATTTGAATACAAGCCCCATTGTGGTATATCAGACAAAAACAAGTCAAAGAAATCAACATTTCAGGGTCTGAAATATGATACCCCCAAATCAACACAAAATAAACACTTCAATCCAGTCCTGGAGCCACAAAGCTCCTATAAGAAAAGTGGGAGTTTATTTCAGCAAAACTTGTGTCTATGCATGCAGTTTGCAAAAAAGAAAGAAAACAACAGCAAAAAGTATCTATGGCAGCAAACCCTTAGGCCATGCAATTGATTTGGCATTACTTTTTCTTTCTTATTTTTTGTTCTTTTTGGATGGGACACAAAAATCACTGCTAACAAATATAAATACAAACACACGGGACTATACATCATTTGAGAGCTTCCGCATGGGAAAGAGAAACAATGAACCATTAAAGAAGGCATCCTGATGAGTTCATGTCCTTTGTAGGGACATGGATGACGCTGGAAACCATCATTCTCAGCCAACTATCGCAAGAACAGAAAACCAAACACCACGTGTTCTCACTCATAGGTGGGAATTGAACAGTGAGAACACTTGGACACAGGAAGGGGAACATCACACACTGGGGCCTGTGGTGGGTCCGGGGGTTGGGGGAGGGATAGAATAGGAGATATACCTAATGTAAATGATGAGTTAATGGGTGCAGCACACCAACGTGGCACATGTATGCATATGTAACAAACCTGCACGTTGTGCACATGTACCCTAGAACATAAAGTGTAATAATAATAAAAAAAAAGAAGGCATCCTACACATTGAAAGAAAGTTCAGCAGAAACATATCTGTGAAAGGGATTGCAATCTAACATGTATGAGAAACTAACACTACTCTGGGAAAATGAACAAAATCTAATACCCAAGCTAAAACTGGGCAAAGAACTTCAACAGGCACATCTGAAAAGTAATCATGAAATTGACTGACAGGTCAAAGAGAAGCTGCTCAACTTCACTAATCATCACACACATGTCTAAGTGCAAACCACACTCAGATACCTCTCACTCTAATTAGGATGAAACTTACCAAAAACAAGAAAAATCCCATACATTTGCAGGCAGTGGCCAATGTAGAAGTGCAGAAAAAGAGATTTTATACACTATTGGTGGGAATGTACATTACTATACACATGAAGGAAAACAGTTGAAGGTGCCTTAAACATTTTACAACTACCCGTTCACCTAGGAATACCACCACTGGTTACACACAGAAAGCGCATGAAATCTGTTATGTTAAAGAGATATCGGCCTTCTTATCGCAATTGTAGCACTATGCACAATAGCGAAGGTATCCAATCAACCTACCTGTTCATGCACAGATAAAGGGATAAAGAAACTGTGGTACACAATGGAATCCTCCTCGGCCATAGAAATTCATAAAACCATGTCATCTGCAACAACGTACAGAAACCTGGAGGACATGATTTTCCATGAAATGAGCCAGGAATAGAGAAATAAACACGGCATGATTCCATGCCTATGAGAATGAGATCAACTTTGTCTCTAAATGATTTTATCTCCTAGTAGAACATTTCATAGTAGTGAAGAGAGCCTGGGGGTTGGGGAGGCAGCACAGGAACTGGGAAATGGATGCCATGTTACACTCAGATGACAGGAATAAATTCAGCTGTTCTACTCCACAGCAGGATGTCTAGAGTTAACTGTATCCTACCATATTTTCCAAAAAAGGCTGAAAAGAAGGATTCTGAATATTCTGACCACAGAGAACTAATAAATAATAACCACACAAGGTAACAGAGATAGTCAGTCAATCCCTTGCTTTCATCATTACACAAGGTACATATACATGGATTAAAATGTCCCGCTCTACTCTTTAATTGTATAACTATACTAGAGAGCAAATTGGTTTTAAAGACATAGAAATAAACAATGCTGAAGTTCATGTGAGACCAGGAAATGCCCTGCATTTCCAAAGAAATTCTGAGAAATCCAAACTACATTGGATGCATGACACTCCCTGATGTGAAATTGCACTCAAACTCTAGGGACCTGCTTCCGCATGGATGAGTGGAAGAGAATAGAGAACCTGTAAACCCACACACTTCATACCACCTGATGCTGGATGAAATACACAATGATGAGTAATGGGGAAATAACTCCCTTTTCAATAGTCTTGGGATAAATGGCGAACCATATGCAGAAGAGTAAGTAACACTAGGCATCTACTTCTCACCATGTATCAAAGTTCACTCAGATGAATGAAAGATGTAAGTGGAAGACCTCAAAGTACAAAAATCCTACAAGAGAGCCTAGGAAATACCCTTCTTGACATCAGCTTTGAAAAAGCATTTATATGCCTAAGACCCCACATGACACTGCAACAACAGCAATAATCGACATGTGGGACCTAATATACTAAAGAGCCACCACACAACACAAGAAATTACCCACAGAGTAGACAGACGACATACAAGATGAGAGAAAATGTTCCCAAACTATGCACCAGACCAAGTTCTAATATCCAGAATCTACCTTAAAGACCTTACACAAATCAATTAGCAAAACCACCCTCATAATTAATAGGCAATGGATATAAACACAGACTTCTCAAAAGATGATGATGAGCAACCAACAAATTGAAAATATGCTCAACCTAATTATCAGAGAAATATAAATCAAAAGCACAATGTGATCTATCTCACGCTGGTCAGAATGGGGATAACGCAGTTAAAAAACAAAAAAAGACACTGGCGAGGCAACAGAGAAAGAGGACACTGGTCCACTTTTGGTGAAAATGCAAAGTAGTTCAGACACCATGGAGAGCACTTCGGAGAGATTGCTCAAAGAACTGGAACCAGAACTACCATCTGACCCAGCAATCCCACCACTGGGGTATACACAGAGGAAAAGAAATCCTTTTCTCCAAAACACACATGCACACAAATGGTCATGGCAGCAGTATTTACAATGGCAAACACGTGAAATCAGCCTAGGTACCTGTCACCAGTGGATCAGAAAAGGAAAATGTGGTACATATATACCACAAAAAACTAGGCAGCCATTAAAAAGAAAAAAAAAAGAGAAGGAAATCATGTCCTTGGCAGCAACATGAAAGGAGCTGGAGGCCATTATCAAAAGAGAAATAAGGAAAAAACAGAACACCAAATACCACATGTTCTCGCTTATAAGGTGGAGCTAACATTGAATACACCCTACCGTAAAAGTGAAAACAACAGACACTGGTGACTGTCCGATGAAAAAGGATGAAGGCATGAGGTATGTGCGGAAGACCTACCTGGTGGGTACACCCACTGCCTGCATGATAAGGTTGCTTGGACCCCAAGTCTCAGTGTCATGGAATATACCAAAGGCAGTAACTAATCTGCATTTGTACCCTTTAGTCTATAATAAACATAGAAGTTTTGTCACAAAATACAAACTTAGAAGCTAAAAGCATGAATGAAAAACAAAAACTTTTATAATTATCCAAACAATCTTTTATTGGCATAAACTAAGAAAGTGGACAGAATGAGTAAACCAAATATTCAACCCCAATTTACATATAGTGAACAGGTTTTTCAAAAGAACACCAAAAAGATGCAATTGGAAAATAAAGAGCCTGTTCAATAGATGATTTTGAGCAAACTGAATATTCACATACAAAACACTGAAATAGGACCCTTATGTCACGCAACAGAAAAATCAACGCAAAATACATTAAAGATCTAAAACTCAATTCTGAAACCACAAAACTCCTACAAGAAAACATAGGGTGTGCATTATTTTAGAAAAGAAATCCATACATGTAGGCTGCTAAAGGTATTTAAAAAACATTAAACCAAAGGAAACACTCAAGAAAACACCCATAGACAAGGTAATGGCTTGGCATTTTCACTGAAAAGCTGGAGACCCGGTTCCACACAACAGTGGAACACATTAGAAGACCCAGATATAAACCTGCACACCTGAAACCATCGATATTTGAAAAAAAAAAATCAACAAAAATAAGCAATGGAGAAAGGACTCCCTATCAGCAAGTGGTGCTGAGATAAGTGACCTAGCTAGATGTAGAAGAAATAACACTGGGCCTCTATGTCTCATCATGTACAGAAAGCAACTCAAAAGAAATAAAAGATTGAAATGTAAAACGCTGGGCTGGACACAGTGGCTCATTCATGGAATCCAAGCACTCTGGGAGGTCGAAGCAGGCGGGTGACTTGAGATCCTGGAGTTTGAGACCACCCTGACCGACATGGTGAAGCCGATGTCTAAGAAAAAACCAAAAGTTAGCTGGGCATGGTGGCACATGCCTGTACTCCCAGCTTCTCAGGAGAAGGAGGCAGAAGAATCACTTGAACCCAGAAGCTGGAAAGTGCAGTGATCTGAGATCACTCCATTGCATTCCAGCCTGTATGAGAGAGTGAGACTTGGTCTGTAAATAAATACGTAAATACATAAAAATCGAATACCTGAAACTATTAAAAAAAAATCCTGCATGAGGATCTAGCAAATACCCTTCTTGACAGAGGCTTTGGCAAAGCATTTATATGACAAGTCCCCAAAAGCAATGGCAACAAAAACAATTACTGATAAGTGGGACCTAAAACACAAAAGAGCTGCTGCACAGAACAAGAAACAACCATAGAGTCAGCACACAGCCTACAGAATGAGGGAAAACATTCCCCAACTATGCATCTGAAAAACGTCTAATATCTACGATTTACCATAAAGACCTTAAACAAATAAAATCAGAAAAAAAAAAAAAAAAAAACAAGTTATAAAAGGGCAAGGAACATGAACACTTAAAAGGAGGTGTACCAGTAACTAACGAGCATGAAAACATGTTCGATCTCACTGATCATCAGAGAAATGCAAATCAGAAACATACTGAGATAAGATCTACACTGGTCAGAATGGCAATTATGACACACAGTCCACAACAATAGAGGCTGCTGGGGCAGATGAGCAAAGAAATGCAGGTCCACTGTTGGGGCAAATGCAAACTAGTTCAGATCCCCTGGGGAGCAGTGTGGACATTTCTCAAAGAACCTCAAAGAGAACTACCACTCAACGCTGCAACCCCACTCCTAAGGATTTATAAAAAGGAAAATCCTTCCATCCAAAACTCACATACACTCCTATGTTCACGGCAGTACTACTCACAATGGTAAAGACATGAATCAGCCTTGATGCCCATCAGCAGTGGATAAGAGAAAGGAAATGTGGTACATACACACCACGGAACACTACACAGTCATAAAACACAAATACATGCTCTTACCAGAAACCTGGACAGAGCCATAGGCCATTATGAACAAAAGGCAAGAACAGAAAACCAAAATTTTCAAAACACCTACAAAGGTCAGTTGTGAATGTTCTCTCCACAGAGAAATCATAACTCTGGAGCTCACGGAGGTGCCAGACTCTGAAACTTCATTATGATGCTACCTTTACACAGATCAAATTGTCCCTTGCACCCGCTGGTTATACACACCTACTCTACGGCAATGAAACTGCCGTCCCAATTTGGTAACGCTCATTCTCACCGGAGTGAGATGATATCTGAGTGTGGTTTTGATTGACTTCTTGTCAGGATCAGTAATGTTGATTCAGAATCTTTTACCCATGCATCCTTCTCAGGTCTTCAGGTTCTTTGCCAAGTCTTACACATCAAATTGAAACAAGTTCATGATAACTTGGCAAACATCTCTAACCACAGCAAAATGTAAATCAAAACCACACTTAGATATTGGTAACAGGTACAGAGTGACACGGAGACACAATGAATCTGTTCTGGTGTTCTATTGCACAGCAGGGTGACTAGGTGACTAGGGTCAACAGAATCTAGAAAATTTTTTCAAAATCAGCTGGAAATTACGGTTCTGAATATTCTCTCCACAGAGAAATAATAATGATGGAAGGTCACAGAGATGCCAGATATGATGATTTGATCACGATACTACACATACATATGTCAAAATGTCCCTTGCATCCTTGGGTTGTGTGTGTGTGGGTGAATGTATATACCCACACACACACACACACACACACACTCTATAGAAACAAAACTGCCATCAAATGTTGCTAGTATTCATTCTAACTGGAGTGAGATGAAATCTGGGTGTGATTTTCACTTACACTTTTGTGTGCATCAGCGATGGTGAGAATCTTCTCTTTGACCTGTGCATCAACCTCATGTCTTCAGGTCCTCTGCCCAGTCCTACACAACAAATTAAAAACAAATTCACAATAACATAGCAAGTACCACTTATCACACACACACAAAAATAAAAAACACACTCAAGATTCCATCTCACTCTACATGCAACAGATGCTACCAGAAAAAAGTTGAAACATATGAAAACACAATCCAATCAAGGTGTGGATTTCCGGAGGAGGCACTTGTCTCCACATCTGGTGGGAAATGGTAAACTAGTATGCACACTAAAGAAACCACTTGGATGTTCCTTGAAATCCTAAAACTACAACTACCATTTTCTCCAGCAATTCTATTCCTAGGTATATACACAGAGGACATGATCAGGGCATGGAAGAGATTATCTGTCATCCCAGGTGGCATTCAGCCCTATGCTCAAAAGCCAAGAAAAGAAATCAGCCTATCTGTCCATCCACAGATGAAGGGATGAAGAATCTCTGGTACACAGACAGGATGGAATACTTTTATGCCATCAAAATTCATGGAATCCTATCATTTCCAGCAACATGGCTGCACCTGCAGATATTCTGTTCAATCACATCAGAAAGGCAGACAAAGACCAAGCCTGCATGTTCTCACTCATGTGGGAGCTGAAAACTTTAACTCACTGAAGGTGAAAATACAGTAGTGGTCACCACAGACTAGGTGGAGGACAGGACCTCAAGGATTGGCAATAGGTACACAGAGAGTTACAGGAGAGGAATACATTCTGGTATTCCACTCCAAAGCAGGGCGATGATACTTAACAATATGGTTATGCCGTTTTCAAAGTAGCTACCAAGGAGGATACTGAATGTTCACACATCGAAGATATCAAACTTACACGTGGTCACAAGCATGGGAAACTCCCTGATTTTATCCATACTCAAGGTATACAAACAAGTATCACAATGTCCCAATGCACCCCTAATTCTGGACATGAAGTGTAAAACAAACGTTTTATGAAATGTTAACAATACACGGCTAAATGTTCACATGGATCCACTGAAGACCCAAGGAACCTGAATATGCAAAGCAATTCTAGGGAATACAAACTCAACTGGAGGCCACACACTCCCCAATTTCAAATTACATGTAACACCTCCACTCATCCAAAGACTACAGTAGTGGCATAAAAATGAATCCATCAACCTAGAGACTTAAGAGAATCTAAACACATACCTGCAGTCAACACATTCTTTTTCAAAGAATGCCTAGAAGATGCAATGAGGCCATGTGCTGTGGCTCACACCAGTACTTCCAGCAGTTTCAGAGACCTAGTTGGGTGGACCTCTTGAGGTCAGGAGTTTCAGACCAGCTTCGCCAAAATGGTGAAATCCTATCTCTAGTAAAAATACAAAAGATATTAGCCAGGTGTGGTGTTGCACAGCAGCAATCCCAGCCACTTGGGAAGATGAGGCAGGAGAATCACTCGAAGCAAGGAGGCGGAGGTGGCAGAGAGCTGAGATCTCACCACTGCACTCCAGTCTGGGTGACAGCATGAGTGGGACTGTGTCCTCAAGGGGAAAAAGGATGAGATGAGGAGTCAGCAGTCTGTTCAATTGAGCAGTCCGAAATGACTGGATAGCCACATACAAAAGAATGAAATAAGACATTGACGTTATACAATACACAAACACAAACTCAAAATACATTAAACCCTAAACACAAGACTTAAAAGCATAAAACTGCTGCAGGAAAACACAGAGTGAGCTTAAGTGAGGAAAACCTGAATCTAAGCTCACAGGATATAAAAGCAAACAACAGACAAAAGAGAAAAATAGAAAAAAAAACCACTTCCAACAACAGAAGTCAAAAACTCTAGTTTTTGTTATTGACTTTACCTTACAAAAACAATCACTGCTACTCAGGCACGGTGGCTCACACCTGTAAACCCAGGACTTTGGGAGGCTGAGGTGGGTGGATCACCTGAGGTCAGGAGTTTGAGACCAGCCTGGCCAACATGGTAAAACCCCTTATCTACATACAAAAATTAGGTGGGCGTGGTGACAGTTGTCTGTAATCCCAGCTACTCAGGAGGCTGAGGCAGGAGAATCACTTGAACCCAGGAGGCAGAGGTTGCAGTGAGCCAAGATTGCACCACTGCACTCCAGTCTGGGCAACAAAGTGAGATACTGTCTCAAAAAAAAAAAAAAAAAAAAAGAAGACGTTCAAGTGATCAACCAACATGAAAAAATGCACAACCTCAGTGCAATGCAACTCCCAAACACAATAAGATATCATCTCACGTTGGTCACAATGGGTAATTTTCCAAAGTCAAAACAACATGCCGGTGAGGCAGCAAAGGAAAGGGAACGCTGCTACACTCTTGGTCAATGTGAAAACTAGTTCACACTGTGCAAACCAGTTGAGAGATTCTCAAAAAACTTAAAACAGAACTACCATCAGACCCAGCAATTCCACGACACTTGGTATCTACCCAAAAGACAATAAATCATTCTATCAAAAGACACATGCTCTCCCGCATTCATGGCCATGCCATTCACAAGAACAAAGATGTGGAAGCGTCCTAGGTGACCAGCAACAGTGGATTTCAGTTTTTGTTTTTGTTTTTTTTTAATGTGGTGCATACACATCACAAAATACTACACAGCCATAAGAAGAACACACAATCATGTCCTAAGCAGCATGGATAGACCTGGGGCTTATTATGTTTAGCAAACCAAGGCAAGAACAGCAATCCAAATACTCAAAAAAAAAAGAAAAAAGAAAGAAAGAAACAAACAAAAAGTCTAGAACTTGAGTGATGAATGTCAACTTACAGAACAAAACCAAAGCCAAATTTTTGAAGACAGGAAATAGTGTGATACCATCTTTTGTGGGAACTCTTGGCTTCCCCCAAAATTAGAGAACTGGGGAGAAAGAAGCCTCAGCTCAGAATCTGTGACTGGGTTGGAAGTGGAGGCTGGAAATGTGCTCAAGGTCAAACTTTCCTCCTCCCTTCAAAGGAGCCTGGAGTTTTACCAGTGAGCCTAGAGTGAATATTCACCCCGCCGTCCACCCCAGGAGATCCCCTTTAAACCAGGAGCGCACAGTGAGGACAGAAACATGAATGTGCACTAACAAGTCCTGAAAGTTTAGAGGGTGATTCTCCATTTCCCCGTGGCACACAGCAGAAGAACTGTGGTCTCTAGGTTCCAGGAAATGCCTGTGAGAGAGCTGTGTCCCCCAGATTCCCTTCATCACAGATGACACCCAGTGCTTAAGCCTACACCCCTTGTGACCAATCCCAAGGAGTATTGACTAATCTAAACCAAAGGCTCTGATGTTCCACAAAAAGAAAAGAGCGGGTGGACTGCAAAGAGAATCTCTCATGAATGCAGCACCCTCATAGCCCATACAGACAGTTCTTACCATGATGCCAAGAAACTGAAAACAATAAGCCAGACCTCACACACATTTCCATTTTCCTTCTGATTTCATACCCCCTCCTTCAGCCCCTCCTCACAATCAGCAGGGATAACCTGGAGGCTCCTGGGAACCTTTCCCCATTGGGTTTTGACTGGCACATAGTTCCCTACCTGGATGAGTCTCCACATCACTTATACTCTCCAGCATCAAGTCTTTAGAAACAAAAACACCAGGATAAGTCATTAGAGAGTGTGACTCACCAACTCCTCCTATGTTAGCTGAAGCTGAATGATGGGCTTTTCTCCCACCCCAGGCTGCTTCTTCCATGATCCCCTCATCTTCCTTCTGGATTGACAAACCTTCCTACAGCTTCTTGGGCCAGAGTTCTATACTGGCAAAATCACTTTCATGAGAATCCCAAGCCTCTTTCCCAGCAGGAACCCAGAAACAGGTTTCTATACAATGAAGCTAGCAAGTTTTTCCCTCGGGTAGTGAGTTATTTCATGGTACATACCTTTTCCTTTCCAAGATCTTATCTGCAATTATATAAAAGAAAACATTATGAGAATCAGATTCTGTTGTGCGCTTCACACAGATCTGTTATTCTCTTGACAATGATAAAAAACCAGAAGGCAGTACAGTGATTGAGCCATAGGTCAAAATCCCCAAAGACTAGCACAGAGGATAGCTATAGAAAAACAAGACCTCTATTCACAGAATTTACCTTTAAATTTAATTTGATATGCAAACGCACAATGCTTCATCCAAGGAGGAAAACTGGTATTGTGGAAAATGCCTCAGTATTGCAGTTGATAATGCATGCTGTCATTTAAAAGCAGCATAGTGTACCATGTATCAGTTGGCAAGACACACTTACTGAATTCCAGCCCCACAAAGAAAATAGTGTACAGTGTACATAATGTACATTGCCAGGTTTTCAAATCAAAATTAATTGAGAAGTAAAGAATCAGGAAAGCAACATTGATGTAGAAGACAAAAAAGGGGGATCTTACCTGGACATCATCATCATCATCATCACAATCAACATCACCATCATCGTCATCATCATCTTCATCTTTGCATTGTGGTGAGCATCTTAAAAACAGGCCATCCTCAGGACGAGCTGGAAGGACATAGAGGAAAGATCAGTGCACTGGTGGTTGGTGACTGTGAGTCACTCAGGGAGCTTTGCTGGATGTGGTGTATGGAGGTGGTTGATATACAAGAATGGACTGAGTTGATACTGGGCTATTCCTCTGAGTGGAAGATGGATGGCAGAGGAGGGGAGCTGGAAAGACATGAGACATGGAGACCTTGGCTTCGTACTAGAGGCATCGGGCAGCAACACAAAACAGTCAACCCAAAATGGAACTAAAATGCACACTGAGGGTCAATGGAAGAGTGCCTTCCTGCCTCTCAAATGTTTTGAAACTCTTCTAAACAAACAGCCATTAATTAGTGTATTCAAGACCGTGTCAGTACACTAGAATCTAATCATGCTGATACTACATTTAGCATCTGTTTTAAAGGATTTATTACTTGATTAAAAGCCTATTTTAGGGGTGAAATGGACTCAATTTTACCCAAAGCACTCTATTCTATTAATCACACATTCTTTTTCATAGAGATCATTAAAAAATTCAATATTAAAACGCTACAATTAAAAATAGTCATGATTTCCCATTTGTAAGTCTTCTGGAATGACTTCTACACACCCTTTTGGGGCCCTGTGATCAGGGGCTTCAGCACCTCCTGTGTGACTCTCCCTGGGGAGATTCCCTAAAAATCAAGCTTCATTCAAACAGGCCAAGCTCACACAGCCAGCTCTACTTACACCAGTGAAGCTGAGAGACATGACTTTGACCACTTTCTGCCATGAAGATAAGTTTAAAAGTTCAAATACACATTATCTACTGAAATGAGGAAATGTATACCAATAGAAATGAACAAATTCATGAAAAAATGTACACGAGTATGGGGGTGATTTTTGGTTAACTAGCTTACATAAAAATTATTTTTTTGGCCGAGTACTCTGGCTCACACCTGTAATCCCAGCACTTTGGGAGGCTGAGGCAGGGGGATGACCTGAGGTCAGGAGGTCATGACCAGCCTGGCCAACATGGTGAAACCCCATTTCTACTAAAAATACAAAAAGTTAGCCAGGCATGGTGGTGAGCGCCTGTAATCCCAGCTACTCAGGAGTCTCAGGCAGGAGAATTGCTTGAACCTGGGAGGCAGATGTTACAGTGAGCCGAGATCATGCCATTGCACTCCAGCCTGGGCAAGAAGAGTGAACCTCCATCTCTCTCTCTCTCTCTCTCTCTTTCCCCCCCGTCTCTCTCTCTCTCTTTCTCTCTCTCTCTCTCTCTCTCTCTCTCTATATATATATATATATATATATGATGCCTATTCATTTAGACATACAAAATATTGGTATAGGAAATCAAAAATTCTTATCAGTCATGTTAAATCTAACTTATCAGCTGTCAACATGAAGATCCTAGCAAATAAGGAAGGTACAAATAAGTGGAAAGGCATCCTGTATTCATGGATAGGAAGACTAAACCTGACTAACACACAATACTACACAATGATCTACAGACTCACAACAATTACTATCAAACTGGTAACACCTATCCGTGGAGAAATGGAAAAGATAATCCTACAATTTTAATGAATTTTATGTGCCTTATGTAACCATGATGACGTTAAAAAAATAGTGTTATATGATGCAGGTTCATGAGATTGAAATGCACACACACACACACACAAAATACAGAAATACAGAGAGTTTGTTTCTAGCATAGGGGCACTCATAAGTTTCACAGATATAGAGAGCCCAGAATTAAATGCACACATATACAGTAAATTGATCTTCAACAAAGGTGTCAAAAATACACAATCGGGGGAAAGGAAAGCCTCTTCAACAAATGATGGTAAAACTGCACATTCTCATTCAAATGAAGAAATAGAATGCTGATAGAGTCCTCAAGGTTGTGCTTCTCCCTCCATTTCCAAGACACTGGAGCTTTTGCACTGAGCCCAGATTGAATTTTCATTCTGTCCTCCACGCCGAGGAAGAGCTCTTGATACCAGAGGTAAGCAGGGAAAAACAGACAAATGAGTGTGCTGCCAGGAAACTTAACAGTTCATAAGGTGAGGATCAATCTCTCCTATGCCTCTGGGCACACCACAGAATTTTGTCTCCAGCATTAAGTAACTGCCTGTGATAGAACTCTGTCCTAAACTAAAGGCTTTGAGATTTTGCAGTGGCAGAGGCAGGAAAGAGCAGGTGTTCTGAAAAGATCATCTTTAAATAATAAATAAGAAAAGGTGATCAAAAACACAGGATACTCAAAATCTCATCAACTCAAAAGAACAAACTTCACTTACGTTTACTTTTTCTTTTTCTCTTTCTACACCCTCCCTCAGCCTCCCAAGCAGCAGGTATAACATGAAGGCTCCTGGAAATGCTGTGTTATTAGACTACACGTGAAATCTTCTTACCTACCTAGAAAGGTATCCTCTTCCCTGCTGAGATTCTCGAGAATCCACTCTTTAGAACGACCAACATCAGGATAAATCAGGGAGAGGTGCACTCACTTCTCCGCCTCCAGGTGAAGACACAACGGCTTACACAAAATCTCCTGGTTGGTCCTCTGGGCTCACACACATTTCTACAGCCCCTCTGGTCATACGTGTACACTTGCAAAATCATTTGCTCTCACCAGATCCCCAATATTGTTTAACAGGAACCCAGATTAAGGTTTCTATATATTAAAGCCAGCAAGTTTGTTTCTCAGAAAGTGAGTTAGTTCAAGGTACATACCCAGGACAGGTGATGGTAAAATCTGCAACGAGACAAAAGAAGATGCCATGAGGATCAGATCAATTCTGCTGCACCCCTTACACAGATCTGTGAGTCTCTTGATGACTTCAGAAAACTACCTGTGAAACAGTGGTGAGTCAAAGTCAAAGTCAAAGGCCAAACATTCTAGAATAGAGGACACTCATGGAAAAGACAAGAGCTTTTCCCACAAAATTTATCCTTGACGTTGGTTTAGGTTGGTAAATGCACAATGCCTAATCCAAGGAGAAAAACTGGTGTGGAGGAAAACGTCTCTGCATTACAGTTGGTGATGGATGCTGTCCTTCAAAACATCCTAGTGTGTCATGTATTAGATGAAAGGAAACTGCCACTGAACTCCATCCTCACAAAGAGAATAGTGTCTGTCGTACCTAATGTGCCTTGTCATATTATTATATCAAAATTAATTGAGAAGGAAAGAAATCAGATGAAGGAAATAATGTATACAGTGGTCCATTTTTAACACAAAGTGCCTTGAACCGGTTTAGGTCAGCAAAGGATAGAAGAAATAGGATGTGCCAGGCTCCTGATTGGATGGGCAATACCTGCTCATTGGGGCCCCTCTCCTCCCCATTTAGTTGCCCTCACTTCAACCAAAGAAGATTAGTCTAAGATGAAAGTTTACTAGCCAGAAAATAGCTCATTTTGTCTGTTCTTCTCAGCCTGCCCAGCTACTTAGGTCATAAGTCAAATACTTGAAGTGCCCCTGAGCTGACTAGGATAGCAATGCATTGTGGGCTGCAACAAAATGCAGTAAGACAACCCTACAAAAATACCTAAAGTCTCTCCCAAAAAATCAATAGGCAACACCTGGGAAGATTGTGACCCCACAGTTCTCAGCCTATGAGGAACCAGGGGAGGGACCTGCACACTAGGGGATAAATTGCTTGTGGAAAGTGTGCTGGGTGTGTCTGCCCATCAGACACCGGATCTTGCAACACTGTCATTAAAAGTCTCACTTTCTGCCAGGTGGAGTGGCTCACACCTGTAATCCCAACACTTTGGGAAGCTGAGGTGGGCAGATTACCTGAGGTCTGGAATTCGAGACCAGTCTGGCCAACATGCTGAAACACCATCTCCACTGAGAATACAAAAATTAGCTGGGCATGGAGACACATGCGTGTAATCCAAGCTACTCGGGAGGTTGTGGCAGGAGAATTCATTGAGCCCAGGAGATGGAGCTGAGATTGCACCACTGCACTCCGGCCTGGCAAACTGAGTGAGACTCTGTCTCAAAAAGGAAAAAAAAAAAAAAAAAAAAGGAAAGAAAATCTCACTCTTGCTGTTTTTCAGCTCCCTGAGTCCATTCTTTGGGTTTGGACTGGTGAGTTTGTTTCTCACATCAGAAAACCAACATTTCCTTAGAAGACAAAGAAAGGTGTTCTTACCTGGACATCATCATCACCATCATCATCACCCCAGTCATCATCTTCACTTGGTGGTAGGCATACTAAACTCAGGTTGTCCATAGAAAAAGCTGGAAGGACACAAGAAAGATCAGTGCACCGATGGTTGGTGACTGTGAGTCACTCAGGGAGCTTTTCTGGATGTGGTGTATGGAGGTGGTTGATTAACAAGCATGAACTGAGTTGATGCTGGGCTATTCCCCTGAGTGGAAGAGGGATGGCAAAGGAGGGGATCAGGAAAGACATGAGACATGGAGGCGTTGGTCTTGTACTAAAGACATCATGCAGCAACACAAAACAGTCAACCCAAAATGGAAATAAAGCACACACTAAGGGTCAATGGAAGAGTGCCTTCCTCCGTCTCAAATGTTTTGAAACTCTATGAAACAAACAGCATTTTCTTAATGTATTCAAGACTGTGTAAGTACATTAGGACCCAGTTATGCTGGTACTACATGTAGCATCTCCTTTAAAGGATTAGTTACTTAATTTATTGGTGAAAAGGATTCAATTTTACCCAAATTACTCTGTTCTACTGATCACACAGTTTTGTTTGTTTGTTTGTTTGTTCATTTGTCAGTTTGTTTCTGAAACGGAGTCTCACTCTGTCATCCAGGCTGGAGTACTGTGGCACGATATTGGCTCACTGCAAGCTCCACCTCCTGGGTTCACACCATTCTCCTACTTCAGACTCTGGAGTAGCTGGGACTACAGGCACCCGACACCACGCCTGGGTAACTTTTTTTGTATTTTCAGTAGAGACGGGATTTCACCATGTTAGCCAGGATGGTCTCCATCTCCTGACCTCATAATCTGCCCACCTCAGCCTCCCAAAGTGCTGGGATTACAGGCATGAGTCACAGCACCAGACAGATCACAATTTCTTTTTCATAGAGGTCATTTAAAAAATTAAGTATTAAAATGCTAAAATGAAAAATAGTCATGATTTCCTCTTTGTAAGTCTTCTTCTGGAACCATGGTGTGTGCACACAATTTTTTGGGTTCCTGTGATCAAGGGCTTCAGCAGCTCTGTGTCGCTCTCCCTCAGGAGATTCCCTAAAGATCAGGCTTCATTCAAACAGGCCAAGCTCACACAGCCTGCGCAACCTACACCAGTGAAGCTGAGAGACATGACTCTGAAAACTTTCTGCCATGAGGATAAGTTTCCAGGTTCAAATATACATGAGCTACTGAAATGAGGAAATGCATACCAATAGAAAATGAGCAAATTCATGAAAAACTGTCCCTGAGTATGGGGGTGATTTTTGGTTAAGTAGCATACATAATATTTTTTATTTGATGCATAATCATTCAGACAGACAAAATATTGGCAAAAGATACAAATTTGATCAGGCACGGTGGCTCATGCTCGTAATCCTAGCACTTAGGGAGGCCAAGGTGGGTGGATCATGAGATCAAGAGATCAAGACCATCCCGGCCAACAAGGTAAAATCACATCTCTACTAAAACTACAAAAATTAGCTGGATGTGGTGGCATGCATCTGTAGACCCAGCTACTCAGGAATATAAGGCAGGAGAATCACTTGAACCTGGGAGGCGGAGGTGGCAGTGAGCAGAGATCATATCACTGCACACCTGTATGGTCACAGAGTGAGACTCTGTCTCAAAAACAAAAATCCAAAAAAAGAAATCACAAATTCATATCAGTCACATTAAATCTAACTAATCAGCTGTCAACATAAAGATTCTAGAAAGTAAAGAACATAGAAATAAGTTGAAAGGTTTCCCATATTCATGGATAGGAAGACTAAACCTGACTAACACACAATACTACACACATGATCTACAGACTAACAACAACTGCTACCAAACTGGCAATAGCCATCTGTGCAGAAATGGAAAAGATAATCCTAAGATTTTAATGAACTTTTATGTGCCTCAAATAGCCATGGCAACATTGAAAAAGAATAGTGTTGGAAGATGCACATTCATGAGATTGAAATCTAAAAATAAAAATAAAAAAAAAACAGAAAAATTCAGACAGCATACTTCCACTGTGGGGGGCACCCATAAGTATCACAGATATAGAATCGAGAGCACAGAATTAAATGCATACATACAGAGTCAGCTGATCTTTAACAAAGGTGCCAAGAATACACAATGGGGAAAGGAAAACAACTTCCACAAATGATGGTAAAACTGCATATTCTCATTCACATGAAGAAATGGAATACTGACAGTGTGCTCAAGGCTGTGTTTCTCCCTCCATTTCTAAGACACTGGAGCTTTTCAGTGAGCCCACAGTGAATTTTCATTCTGTCCTCCATGCCCAAGGAGATGTCTTGATACCAGAGGTAAACAACAAGGACAGAAAAATGAATGTGCTGTCATGAAACCTATGTTCATAATGTGTGGATCAATCTCTCCTATGCATCTGGGCACACCGCAGAAGAGTTTTATATTCAGGATTAAGTAACTGCCTGTGACAGAACTGTGTCCCAAACCAAAGGCTCTGATATTTTGCAGTGGCACAGGCAGAAAAGAGCAGGTATTCTCTGAAAAATCATCTTTAAATAATAAACCAAGAACAGGTGATTGAAAACACAGGATACTCAAAAGCCCATGAACATAATACTCCTCACCATGATGACATTAAACTCTGAAAATAACAAACGCGGCTTATATTTACTTTTTCTTTTTCTCTTTCTACTCCCTCCCTAAGCCTCCCAAGCAGCAGGTATAACATGAAGGTTCTTGGAAATGCTGTTTTATTAGACCCCATCTGATGTCTTGTTGCCTACCTGGAAAGGCATCCTCTTCCCTGCTGAGATTTTCCAGAATCCACTCTCTAGAACCATCAACATCAGGATAAGTCAGTGAGAGGTGCACTCACTTCTCCTCCTCCCGGTGAAGACTCACTGGCTCACACAAAATCTCCTGGTTGGTCCTCTAGGTTCACACACATTAATACAGCGGCTCTGGTCATAGCTATACACTTGCAAAATCATTTACTCTCAATAGACCCCCAACATTTTTTAACAGGAATCCAGATTAAGGTTTCTATATATTCAAGCCAGCAAATTTGTTTTTCAGAAAGTGATTTGGTTCAAGGTATGTACCCAGGACAGGTGGTGGTAAAATCTGCAATGAGACAAAAGAAGATGCTATGAGGATCAGATCAATTCTCCCGCCCCCTTACACAGATCTGTTAGTCTCTTGATGACTTCAGAAAACTACTTTTGAAACAGTGGTTAAGTCCATGTCAAAGACAAAACACTCTAGCATAGAGGACATGTATGGAAAAGACAAGAGCTTTTCTCACAGAATTTCTTTGAAGTTGATTTAGATTGGTAAACTCACAATGCCTAATTCGAAGAGGAAAACTGGTGTGGAGGAAAATGCCTCTGCATTACAGTTGATGATGGATGCTGTCATTCAAAAACATCCTACCATGTCATGTATTAGATGGGAAGACATTCCCAGTGAACTCCACCCCAAGAAGGACTATTGTGTATGTCATACATAATGTGTCCTGTCATATTTTATACCAAAATTAATTGAGAAGGAAAGAAATCAGGTGAAGGAAATAGTGTATACAGTGGTCCATTTTTAAGACAAAGTGCCTTGAAGTTGTTTAGCTCAGCAAAGGACAGAAGAAATACTAGGCTCGTGGTTGGATGGGCAATGCCGGCTTGTTGGGTCCCCCTTCCACCCCGCTTAGTTGTCCTCACTTTAACAAAGAAGTATAGGCTAAGTTAAAAGTTTACTAGCATGCAAAACAGCTCGCTTGGTCTGTTCTTATCAGCCTGCTCAGCTCCTTAGGTAGTAAGTCAAATACTTGAAGAGCCCCTGAGCTGACTAGGATGGCAATGCATTGTGGGCTTCCAGAAAATGCAGTAAGACAACCATAAATATATATATTTATAGATATATATTTCTATTTATAGATATATCTTGCAAGACCATCATTAAAATTCTTACTTTCTCTGTTCTGTAGGCCTCTGAGTCCATTCTTTGGGTGTGGATGGGTGAGTTTGTTTCTCACATTAGGAAAGCAGCATTTCCTTAGAATGCAAAGAAATGGGGTCTTACCTGGGCATCATCATTATCTTCCTCACTTGGTGGTAGAGATTTTAAACTCAGGTGGTCCTCAGGGGGGCCTAAAAGGACACAGAGTTAATGTCAGTGCCCTGGTGGTTGGAGACTGTGAGTCCCTCAGGAAGCTTTGCTGGATGCGGCATATGGAGCGTGGGACTGAAGATTCTGAGACCATCTCAGAGAAACAACTACGTTCAAATAGTGAGCATGAGGGAGTGTCACCAGATACCTCGCATCTTAGTCAGTGCCTGGACCTAATAAGACTCTGCATTCTCAAGTCAAAGACCAAGGCTTTGATGTTTGCTGTGACATAGACAGGAAAAACTGGCCTTCTGGGAAAGGTAACCATTAAACACCAGAGTAAGGAAAAAAAGGGTTACAAACACAGCACACAAAGCCCATGGAGGCAAATGACCTCATCTCTATCTTATTAAAATACAAAAGGAACAAGTCACACTTCTACACATATTTCCTTTGGTTCTGACTTCATTGCCCTTTTCCTGATTTCCAAAGCAACAGGTGTCACCCAACTGCTCCCAGAGATCCTCCTAGACTATCATGCTCTACCTGCAGGTCTGCCTCAATGCAGCTGCCCTCATGGACGGTGTCCATTGGCCAATCTTTAGAGACAAAAACTCCACAAGAAGTTATTCCAGAGAGCACCTCGCCCACCCTCCTACTCCAGGTGAGGCCACACTGGGTTGTACGAGATCACTCTGCCCTTCCCTCGGTGTTGTCAGACTCTCCCTGGGCTCTGGGGAGTCAGAGGTCTCTAGAAAGGCATTGCTCACACTTGCCAGCCTTCAAGTGAGAAAGAGGAACTGAAGAAACCACCTTTCAACTTTTTCCTTCCAATGGCCCATTATAGGTCTCACCTCCAATCTCACAGCCCTGAGATTCCCACTTTAAGGTGCACGCTTTGAGTTAGAGGAGTTCAATAATCAGCCCCTCAGCCAGGCTTACAGCAGATGTGAAAGAACATTCTGTGGGGATGGAAATCTCTCCGGTGCATGAACAGAAAGCTGCTGGGGGATTGCATGGCAGCTGCTTTAATGAAGTTCTGAAATTCTTTTTTTTTTTTTCGAGATAGAGTTTCACTCTTGCTGCCCAGGTTGGAGTACAATGGCATGATCTCGGCTCACTGCAACCTCCACCTCCCGGATTCAGGCGATTCTTCTGTCTCAGTCTCCTGAGTAGCTGGGATTACAGGCATGCACCACCACACATGGGCTAATTTTTGCATTTTTAGTAGAGATGGGGTTTCACCATGTTGGCCAGGTTGGTCTCGAACTCCTGACCTCAGCTGATCCACCCGCCCCGGCCTCTCAAAGTGCTGGAATTACAGGTATGAGATGCCACGCCCAGCCCTGAACTTCTAATTGAAAATATTTAAATGTATTTAAATATGAAGAGGCACATATATGACTGAGAACCGCACTAGACGGCACAGGAGACCCAGACATGAGGAAGACATGACTCTCCTCGCCTGGTGTTTTCTTGCAAAATAGTTCGCAGCACTGCTCCTACCATACATTTATGGATACTTACTGGACATCTGCAAAAGGTCCTGTGGGTCAGGGGATATAACAATGAGGACAACATCCAGGTACAGAGGGATGCCAGCAGGGGGCGCACGTGCACACAAGCGAAGAGCGTGGCCCTGCACACCCTGTCTAGACAGGATCAGAGCAGCAGGAGCCGAGGGCCAGAGGCACCTCACTGTCCTCAAGAGCTCAACCTCATCTCCAGGGACCCTGACTGAGGAGCTGGGGCAGGCTCCAGGATTGGTGTAGGGCTCAACAGGCTGGACAGACTGAGAAGGGAACATTTCAACACCTGTGCTAGATCCAGGCCCAGGGCTGACCTAGAACTCGTCCCAGGGATGTGTTCACTACAATGCCCATGGGGCCTAACATGTTCTCCCCAGGACTGACCTCTGGGATAAGGACTAATGAGGAAGACACAGTCACTGCCCTGGCAGGAAACGCCCATAGCCAGGGTTCCTCTATCCACAGTGTGGGAAAATATAACACAGACAGAGTTTGACACTGAAGATTCCAAACCTTCTATAAAATAAATGGAAACTAATGTGTTCTGGATTCCACAGAAGGGTTGCAAGGATGAGCTTGCAAGGACTCTGGAATCTGTCACCATCCCTTTGCTGAGCTCCTGGTGCACTGGAACTCATGTCCCTCCCCACCTCCCCTGCTACTTGGGAGTGCTGCAGCTACAGGCCCAGTGTTATGGGGTCAGTCCCGTTGAAACACATTTCAGCCAGGCATGGTGGCTCACACTTGTAATCCCAGCACTTTGGGAGGCAGAGGCGAGTGGATCACCTGATGTCAGGAGTTTGAGACCAGCCTGGCCAACATGCAGAAACCTCGTCTCTACTACAAATACAAAAATTAGCTGGGCATGCTGGCCCATGCCTGTAATTCCAGCTACTTGGCAGACTGAGACAGGAGAATTACTTGAACTTGGGAGGTGGACGTTGCAGTGAGCTGAGATCGCACCACTGCACTCCAGCCAGTGAGATGGCACCACTCACTCCAGAGTGAGACTCCATCTCAAAAGAAAAGAAAAAGAGAAGACCACACACACACATTTCTGGGCCAGAAAACCCTTGGCCAACAGTATCTCCTCAAGGACCCTTCCTCAAGTGACTCCCAAAAGAGGTGAAAAAGAAAAACTCATCTGTCCCAGCCCCAGGAAGATCAGGCCTGGGACCTGTCTGTGTCTGTCCTGACCCTGAAGTCCATCCCTGCTGACTTGTGTCCTGTCTGCTCTGTGTCAGACAAGTGGGGACCTGATTCCTGTTCTGAACCCTCACCAATTTCTGCTGGTGTCACTGTCATCATTGCACAAAGAGATGGAGATGACAAGAGAAAGCAATGAAACTCCATTCTTGAGGCATTTAGGATGATGTCCACACCATGCTCTCGGCAGGCAGGAAGGCCAGGTCCTGCTCACTCCTACTCAGAAGGGGTCTCAAAGGTATGAGTACTCACCCTGTGATATTTCTCTACAGCTCCTCTCTTTTTTTCGTTTTTTTTGAGACGGAGTCTAGCTCAGTCACTCAGGCTGGAGTGCAATGGTTTGTTCTCGGCTCACTGTAACCTATGCCTCCTGGGTTCAAGTGATTCTCCTGCCTCAGCCTCCGGAGTAGCTGGGATTACACGCACATGCCACCACACCCAGCTCATTTTTGCATTTTCAGTAGAGATAGGGTTTCACCAGGTTGGCCACGCTGGTTTCAAACTCCTAACCTCAGACAATCCATCCACCTCCTAATTTTTTTTTTTTTTTTTAAGGTCTGCGATACATGTGCAGGATGTACAGGTTTGTTACATGGGTAAAACTGTGCCATGGTGCTCTGCTGCACCTGTCAACCCATCACCTAAGTATTAAGTCCTGCATACATTAGTTGTTTATCCAGATGCTCTCCCTTCCCCTGCCCACTGACAGGCCCCAGTGTGTGTCATTCGCCTCTCTAACACTGTACGTATGCTAAGACCACTCCCTTGCTGATGACAAGTCTAACTGATGGGTTGTGGGAGACTCTCTTGCCTGTTTTTGTCTGGAGAGACTGCCTGGCTTCAGATTCCTGATAACAGTGAGGACCGGAAGTGCAGTGTGAGAAACAGATGGCTCAGTGAAGAGCTGTGATCATCCACTAGAGTCCCTGGAGACAGCCGTATTATTTAGATGGTGTGGGTATGTGTGCAGGCGGGTTGGAAGGTAGCTAGGGGTGAACCAATGTGTAGTGATTGTGAGTGTGTCTGTAAATGTGTGTTTTCCCCCCAAAATGTGGCCCCACATGCCCAGCACAGTACAAGTGTCACTTTTCTTGAATTCCTGGTCTATGTGGTCCTCTCACCTCAGCCTCCCAAGTCATGTCATTCTTTTAATAGAAAGGAAGAGAAACTTCAGCACCACCATACTCTTTACATAAATGACCTCTTTCTTCCCTCACCACAGCTGTACCTGAAACTCAGTTTAATATCCCTACTCCTTAGATGGAGAGAGTGCAGAAAGGAGTGAACCCAGATTTTGACCTCCTGAATGGAAGAGGCAAAAGTGAACCCAAAAATCGGTCCCGATGTTGATGGCATGTTTTACTCAACTGTGTCATCACTCAGGCTTGGTGACAGGACCCCACACCAGGGAGTTCCAGCACCTATGTGTGCCCCTGGAACTGTGTGGCCTCTAAGCTACCAAACTTTGCCCATCATCAACTGGGGCCCCAGTGGTCACATAACCCTGGGTAGCAAAAGGTACAGGGAACAAGAGATGTTGGCATGGACATTACTGTGAAATACACATAGAAAGCCCACAGGCTTCTGGTCAGCTCGCAGATTCTGAGAAGTGTAAGGGATCATGTAGAACAGTGCAGGTCAACATCTGTCAGTGCTGGGCTCATTCCTCAGCACTTGGTCAAAGCAGGGAAGATCAGGAAGATACTGCATTGTATTTAATAATATGACTACCTCAAGCCTTAGAAATGCTCCAATCCATGGCTGGGTGTGGTGGCTGAAACCTGTAATCCCAGCACTTTGGGATGTTGAGGCAGTGGATCACCTGAGGTCAGGAGTTTGAGACCAGCCTGGCCAACATGGTGAAAGCCTGTCTCTACTAAAAATGCAAAAATTAGCCAGGCAAGGTGGCCCATAGCTGTAATCCCAGCTACTTGGGAGACTGAGGCTGCAGAATCGCTTGAACCTGGGAGGTGGAGGTTGCAGTGAGCTAAGATTGAGCCACTGCACACTCCAGTGAGACTCTGTCTCAGAAAAATAAAGAAATAAATAAAAAGAGATGCTCCAATCCATAGCAGACAGACAAGGGCCAGTGCCACATCAGAACTCAGGACAACATTATCATTAGCCTGATGCCCATCACCCTCACTGGAGTCCTCCTGCACAGCTAGGTGAGTGAGGCTCAGCACTCATCAGGTACTGATCCCCATGGGGAACTGTCCCACTGTCGGGGGCTGGGGCGAGCATGAGCAGCCACTGACTCAGTGGATGCACACACAGTGTAAAGAAATGGAAGATATGGGCTGGGCGCGGTGGCTCATGCATATAATCCCAGCACTTTGGGAGGCCGAGGCAGGTGGATCACGAGGTGAGGAAATTGTGGCCATTCTGGCGAACACGGTGAAACCCTGTCTCTACTAAAAATACAAAAACATAACCAGGTGTAGTGGCGGGCACCTGTAGTCCCTATTCAGGAGGCTGAGGTTAAAGAATCACTTGAACCCAGGAAACACAGGTTGCAGTGATCTGAGATCACACCACTGCACTCCAGCCAGGGCAACAGACCAAGACTCCATCTAAATAAATAAATAAATAAAAATTTAAAAAATAAACTACCATAAGGGATGGTAGAAAAGAAACAATCTGACTCTTGCCTGGTTCCTTCATTTAGGTACCAAACTGGCCAGGTAGGTAAGCTAGAGAATGGGATGGGGATTCCAAAATTGGGGTATTTGAATTTTCATTGAAAAAAGGGCTCTCCCTTTTCTAGATCAAAAAAGCCTCAATGACAAAGACAAGAGGCAGAGTCAGCCTTTGCCCCCATGCCCCAGATCTGGGAAAGCTGGCTATGGGCAGGAGGGAGCTGGAAGCTGAGGATGTCTCTGGGGATGAGGGTATGGGAAGGGGGTGAGGGTGGCCACAGGCATGCCAGAGAGGAAACAGCACCCGTGGCTTTTTTACCTGTGGGCATCTTTTGGTTGCCGATGTGCTGCAGTTCGTGGCCCTCGGTGGCTCCCACATCCAGCTTGCCGGGCTCTACACTAGTGGATTCTGATGTTGCAGCAGCCACAGCCTCATAAATAACAGATTCATAACAGGGCGCCACCTTCCCCCTGCACCAGCTACAGGTGGAGTCGATACAACAGGTCAGTACACACCCCATGGGGCACCCACACTCCTCTCCACTCCTGCCTGAGCCTTCGATGAAACTGAAACGGTGCTGCCCGAGCAGCCACACTACTGAGGCTGGCACAGCACTTGTAGAAGCAGCCTGACCCCAGGCAGATCTGGGGCCTCAGCCCTTACTCTGGTGCCACCTCCCAAACTGGCTGATCTATGAGGTCAGGGACCTGCTGTCGCACAGTCGGAGCTCCTCCTTCTTCCACTACCAGCTACCGACTGAGGGTTGCTGGCCCTGGCTGATGCCTATAACCACAAAGCTTCCTATGTCACCTGCTTACCAGGAAACAGCCAGGTCAGGCTAGTGACTCACAATGTCCAGCCCCACAACCCCACGCAATGCCTCACAATGCCCATCCCTGCTGCTGCCCACCTTGTGGCCACCCTGCCCCTCTGTGGTGACGGTACTACTCAGGCTTTTATTCACCCTGGGCTGCCTGAGCTTTCCAGTCCTGAGGAAAGTGCGGGGGAGTTATTATTGGAAGTCACCCTTGGCAAGAAACTCAATAGAAAACCCTGGTACAACCGGGTGTGGTGGCTCACGCCAGTAATCCTATGGCTTTGGGAGCCTGAGGGGGGTGGATCACTAATATCATCTCTACTAAAAATATAAGAATTAGCCTGGCATGGTAGCGGGCGCTTGTGGTCTCATCTACTCAAGAGCCTGAGGCAGGAGAATTGTTTGAACCTGGGAGTTACAGGTTGCAGTGAGCCAAGATCATGCCATTGAACTCCAGCCTAGGCGAGAGAGATTCTGTCTCAAAGAAAAAAAAAAAAAAAAAAGAGAGAGAGAGAGAGAGAGACATTATGTTCATCTGGAAGAACGGGTAAGGCTAAAGGCAGTGGAAATGACTGCAGTGGATGGAAAAGTCTTGTGATCATTTGGGAGAGAGAACAGGAAGCGCTAGATGATTAGATGTGGAAGAACAGGGCAAGTAAAAGGAAAAACAGGCTGCCGAGGCTCTAGTTTGAAGGACTGGGTAAATAGCAATGACTTTCTCCTACGCAGAGAATGGAGGAAGAGGAATAAGTATGGGGAATAAGATAGTTTTCAGTTGGGTGCAATGACTCACGCCTGTAATCCCAGCACTTTGGGAGGCCGAGCTGGGCGGATAATGAGGTCAGGGGTTTGAGACTAGCCTGGCCAACATGGGGAAACCGCATCTCCACTAAAATTACAAAAATTAGCCAGATGCGATGGTGGGTGCCTGTAGTCCCAGCTACTCAGGAGACTAAGGCAGGAGAATCACTTGGTCCAAGGTCGCGGAGTTTGCAGTGAGCCGAGATCGTGCCACTGCATTCTAGCCTGAGTGACAGAGTGAGACTCCGTCTCAAAAAAAAAGGGATAGTTTTGGACTCTTAAGTATTGCATTGAAATGGAGCTCTCTGGTAGAAAATTAGATAGAACCTCTTTAGGATAACTCCATTCTGTGACATCACAAGTCATGTTTAAAAAAAAACGCACACACAAAGTCAAACCATTACAGAAATTTCCTAAAATTTACACACTAAAATATGACAACTTTTTAGTTATTACTTTCCTTTTTATTTATTGATTGATTTTTTTTTTGAGATGGAGACTTCGCTCTGTCACCCAGGCTGGGGTGCAGTGGCCGGATCTCAGCTCACTGCAAGCTCCATCTCCGGGGTTTAGGCCATTCTCCTGCCTCAGCCTCCTGAGTAGCTGGGACTACAGGCGTCCGCCACCTCACCCGGCTAGTTTTTTGTACTTTTTTTTTTTTTAGTAGAGACGGGGTTTCACCGAGTTAGCCAGGATGGTCTCGATCTCCTGACCTCGTGATCCACCCGTCTCGGCCTCCCAAAGTGCTGGGATTACAGGCTTGAGCCACCGCGCCCGGCCTAGTTATTACTTTCTTAGAGCAACTTTGAATTTACAATCGTAGTGAATGAGGTGTCATGTAAAATAAAGCTGCTATAAAAAAATGACATTAAAATTTTTTTGTCATCAGAGCATATAAAAAACAATTGCAGCCATGGGTATGGCAGGGATTGCTTTAAAAAGCTGTGTCTAATGAGGGGAGCTGGAAAGAAAAGAGACTTGGGGGCTAGGTGCGGTGGCTCACACCTGTAATCCCAACACTTTGGGAGGCCTACACAGGCGGATCACCTGAGGTCAGGAGGAGTTTGAGACCAGTCTTGCCAACATGGCAAAACCCCGTCTCTACTAAAAATACAAATATTAGCCGGGCCTTGAAGTGGGCACCTATAATCCCAGCTATTCGGGTGGCTCAGGCAGGAGAATTGCTTGAACCCAGGAGATGGATGTTGCAGTGAGCTAAGATGGTGCCACTGCACTCCAGCATGGGTGACAGAGCAAGACTCTGTCTAAAAAACAAAATAGAAAAGAAAGAAGACTTGGGGAATAGGGAGGTTTAAGTGGCATTAAGTAAAGCCTACAAATGTGAGCAGTGAGAGTCAGGGTACCTGAGTGTTCATCAGAAATGGCTGATTGGGTGAGTCTCATCACAATGGAGATGGTGTCTGCTTCTCATTTCTCTAATTGCTGTACTTAGCACAGTACCTGGTCAATAGGGGCTCAGTACCAAATACCCCAATGAACACAGAAAAATTCTGCCAGTTCAAAACTATGTCCATACCCACCAACTTCCCTCATGGAGTTTTACTTCTTTCACTTACTGTAATGTTTTGAAGTCCATCCCTCCTGTGGCCTGTATCCATAGTTTCTTTTCTTTGTATAACTGAGCAGCGCTCCACTGTATCCATAGCCCACAAGGGTCTATCCATTCTCTAGCTGACGGACACTTGGGTTCTTTCCAGTTGTTGCCTGTAGTGAATGAGGCTACTGAGAACATTTATGTATACATCTTTTTGAACACATGCTTTCATTTCTTCTAGATAAATTCCTAGGGCTGGAATTGTTATGTCAAATGGCTAGTTTATGCTTAACTTCTTTTTTTGCCTGTCTTATTCATAGAAAATATTATACTGATACATAATATTGAAGATTTTTATGAGGCTCATGTGCTGTTTGGTTCCCTGCATCCAACATGTCATCATTAAGACAGTGAATTTGGAGTATGGCCTTGAGTATTTACCATTTCTATGTGTTGAGTATATTTGAAGTTCTCTCTTGTAGCTATTTTGAAATATACAATACATTATTGCTAACCATAGCCAACCTACTCTGCTATCCAACATTAGAACACACTCCTTGCATCTAACTGTAGGTGTGTATTCATTGACCAACCTCTCTGCATTCCCTTTTCATAGCGGGAGGAGAGAGGAAGGAGGGAAAGGAGCTGTGGGTGGCTGAATTAGGGCCCAGGGATGGCTGTGTCCCAGTCCCGGGACCTATCCATGTGCAGTGTTGTGTGGCCACAGGGACTTTACAGATGTGAGGATGTGAAGGAGCCTGAGCTGGAAGATGATCCTGGGTTATCTGGGTGGGTCCAAGGTGCGGTCTTTATAAGGGAAAGAAGGAGGCAGGAGGGTCAGAGTGAGAGCAGGTGTGGGGGTGGAGGGAAAGAAAGGGAGAGAAAGAGGGAAGGTGAGAGAAGACGGTGGGAAGAGACAGAGAAGAGTGGGAGAGATACTTGAAGATGCTGAGCTCTGGCTTTGAAGTTGGAGGAAGGGGCCAGGAGCCCAGGGTGTCCTCTAGAAGCTGGAAAAATCCTGGAAATGGATTCTCCCCAGAGCCCTCAGAAGGAGCCTGGCCTGGCTGGCACCCTGATTTTAGACTCTAGGATTCATTTTGGACGTCTGACTCCATACCAGGGAGAGAATCAATACGTGATATTTAAGCCTCTAAATTAGGGGTCATTTGTGACAGCAGCCACAGGAAAGTCAAACAGGAGCCATCAGAGAGACTCCTTAGGATGCCCCTAGTGTCCCTCCCTGGCCCCATCCACAGAAACACAGGCCTGACCACTGGTGGTGCCCCCACCCCTCGAACACCCTGCTCAGCAGGAACCATGCAGGAGGGGATGTATGTGGCTGGGCCATGCTCTCTCCTCCCACACCTTCTTCTCAGAGAGCAGCTGGAGCCCCAGACCCAGGGAGCCTCACAGAGAAATTCCCAACACAGGACCTGGTTTTCCACCTGAGCCTCAGGATCCAATGGAGAAGTGTTTCCCAAAAATGATGCTTCCTCCAAAGATGGTCAGTGACTTTCTGTGCCAAACATCTGAGAAAATCTCCATGTCCTAGGGCTGTGAGGCAGTCACCTGTGCACATGTTGGAGCCCAAATCCCATCAATAGCGAGGCCTTGGGTAAAACACATCCCCACTTTTAATTATGATGAGCTGCCTGGCCTCAGCATTGACAACACCAACTTCCCTCGAGCAGACTTGTTTAATCTCTTAGAAATGATGGAGCACACCAACCTGAACAACATGGTGAAACCCTGTCTCTAATAAAAATACAAAAATTAGCTGGGTGTTGAAGCATGTACCTGTAATCCCAGGTACTCAGGAGGCTGAGGCAGGAGAATTGGTTGAACTTGGGAGGTCGAGGTTACGGTGAGCTCAGATCGTGCCATTGCACTCCAGCCTGGGCAACAGAGGGAGACTCCATCAAAAAAAAAAAAAAAAAAAAAAAATTATGGAGCACCTATTGCCATTCTTGCACTTGTTCCTGGGGAGCTCAGAGCTTATCTTTTACAACTGTACTGAGCCTCTTGCAGGCCTTTCATGTGTGCTTCCTTCCTGACTTCCTCCTATTTTTCTCACACCTCTGAACCTGCTGTCAGGTGAAAAATCAAGGTGGGCCCCAAATTTAAGAGCTCATGAATTTGATGGTGTGGGAGTGTCCTAGACAGTCCAGCCCTTGGGGTTGGGGAGTTGGGCAGAGAGAAAGGAGGGCATTCCAAGGGCCAGAGCCAGAAGCAGAGGGACTCCAGGCCTAGAGTAGGATTTCCAGGCTGAGGAAAGAGAGGCCGTGGGTCAGGCGAAGGTCCAGACCAAGACAGGGACAGAGGGTGTATCTGGAGGCTCAGCCAGAAATAGCTCCCTCCAAAACGCAGGCAGCGAGTTGGAGGGTGAGCTGCAAGGAGGAAGAGGAGGGGGGAGAGAATGGATGGACCGGTGTTCAGTGAGCTGACTCCCCTTACCCTGGCCTATTTCCCCAGGGGACATGCCTGGGAGCCTGTGATCCTCTCCTCCAGGCTGCTTTCCCACTGGTGCCAGGATTCCCCCAACGCCACACTGAGAACCCAGGAGAAGCATCAAATTGTATGAGAGATAAGAAATGAAGAGAGGGAGCAGGATTTCTGGTTGACAAAGGATGTTTAATGAGGGTTTACTGGGTACAGGGAGAAGGGCTGGATGGCTTGGGATGCAGAGACACCCGTCCCCTGGGATTCTGCAGCTCCAGGCCCCCATAGGTGGGGGACGGGTTGGGAACCTATGAACATTCTGCAGGGGCCACTGTCTTCTCCACGGTGCTCCCATCATGCGTGACCTGGCAGCTGAAGATGTTGCGGGACCTCCACTGCTCAGGCGTCAGGCTCACATAGCTGCTGGCCACATACTTGTTGCTCTGTTTGGAGGGCGCAGTCATCTCCATGTCCTGGGTGATGGGGGTACCATCTGCCTTCCAGATCACCGTCAAGATTCCTGGATAGAAGTCACTCATGAGACACACCAGTGTGGCCTTGTTGGCTTGCATCTCCTCAGAAGATGGCGGAAACAGAGTGACTGAGGGGTGGCCTTGGGCTGACCTGTGTGGACAAAGGAGGGTGTGAGAGATGGCAGAGGTAGCGTGGGGTGCTGTGGAGCACCTCTCTCTGTCTAAAGTCTCTGGGAGGGTTCATGGTGTGGCCATCTGGTCCACCCAGGGTCTCTCCCCCCATCTTAATTCCCTCCTTTCCACTAGAGCCCTCTGGAGAGCAGACAACCCTGCACCTTCCTAGGGGCCTTCCCAAGTCACCTTTGCCAGGTGTCCTGGCTCAGTCATTTCCTCTGCAGCCTTGGTTTCCCCGTGTGTACCCAGAGCAGGCTGTGCTCCCTCCTTCTTGGTTTCTGGAGTCTGAGTTTGGAAACCAGGAGTCTCTCCCACAGCACACAAAACTGTTCTGGCAGTGTGTGGGGAGGCCTATGCCTGGCATGGCCTGGAGCCTCCCATCCCCTGGGACACCAGGCTGTGCCCCAGCCTGGCCCACTCACCTCTCCTGGTGAAGCACAGGCTCCACCCGGACAAACCCTGGGGCTCTGCCGTCGACCCCGTCCCACCAGCCCGGCCACAGGACCCTTCACATTGGCTGGGTTCTTGGGGCTGTTCCCCCAGACTTTGGGTCACTGCAGCCCCATGGCCACCCCAGCAGCCTCTGATGCCCCTGGACTTCACCTGGTGGCCCTGGAGTTCTCTGCACCCCCGTTTACTGCCTGCTAGTCACCTCCTGAGTCTAAGGTGCCATTCCTCAAATGAAGACTGGACGTTGACCAGTGAACAGAGAGACAGTGGGCCCCAGAGGTGACAGGGCTCCAGGGACAGACACATCTCTGCCCCAAGAGACCCCCTCCTTTCTTGTTACTGTCCTGGGATAGCTGAGCTCTTGGACCTTGCCCAGTCTCATCTTTCCCTTGGTGTCCCCATGTCCTCATGACCCAGCACAAGCCACAGAGCTGCAGCCTAGAACCAGAGTCCTGTGCCTTCCACTGGTCTCCCCTTGGAGTGACTCCTGTGTCCCCAGGCCCCCATGTGGCCCTCCCAGGCTGGATGAGCACCCAGCCCTCAGCCTAGACCCGGGGGTCCAGGGGACTGTCTCCAAGACCACTGCAGGGCCCCTCATCAGAACTGGCCTCTGTCCCTCACTCAGACATCTGCCCTGGGAGAGGCGGGGAGCCCTGACCCTGCCCAATCTCAGCCCAGGAACCGGGCAAAGGCTGTGTCCTGCTGTTGGAACCTGAAGGCGGCTGTTCCCACTGTGGTGGCCCTTCCTGCAGGATACCCTGAGACTAGCCCGCTTCCCCCAGACTCCATGGAGAAAGGAAGGGTTCCATGCTTAAGACTTGGAGGGCAGAGAAGAAGCCCCAGAGAAAGAAAGCAGACTTTTCCAGAGACAGGAGAGGGTGGGACAGGCTGGGGAAAGTTGTCAGAGCCACCTACCTAAAACGGTGAGCTGGGTCCCGCTGTCAAGCACATGCCTTGGTGAATTATGCTTGGATTGAAACCTCCGGGGCCAGCACCTGGGGCCAGTCCAGGAGCTATGCTGGAGCAGGAACCTGCTGGGTGTGAGGGGCACAGGGCTGCAGTGTGGAGGTTGTGACCTAGGCACAGGGCAGGGGGTGCCCAGTATCCCAGTAGTGTCTCTGTGCCTGTTCCCTGTCTGAGGCAGGTGCCGTCCACAGCCTTGGAGTCACCGCAGCCTGTGTCCTACTCTCTGAAGCTGTTGGTGCCGATGGCAACCTGGCCCAGTGAGTCCGAGCAACTCCCTGAGTGACACATCCCCTCAGGCAGCTGTGCGGTGTGACTGAGGAGTGCTGAGCTGACTCAGACCTGCCCAACCTCACTTGGCTCCATTTTAAGGGCCTCTGAAATACGCCACAAGTGTCCCCAGTCAAGCCAGGCTGCCAGGCTGACTTCCTCCCTGGACCAGGTTGCTGGGTCATTCCCGACTCAAGAGGAGATTCCTCTGCTTTCATATCTATCCATGGAGATGCAGCTCAGTCTCACTTTCTTCATGAAGCCTTTTCTGATCATTCATTCCATCTGTCCACCTATTCATCTGTCTTTGCATCCATCTATCATCTATCCATTCATCCATCCGTTTACCTGTCCGTCCATCCATAAATCCATCCTGTCTACCAGGCACTGTTTTCTGTGCTGGGGACATGATGTGGTCCT